GAGGTGGGTCAATGAGAACAGAAGAATTCTGGGAAGAAGAAAGTCCTAGTCTGCAGTTGTGACTCAGCCACAGATTAAGGAAAATGTAACTACCTTGCTGAATAATTTACTGAGCCATGTGGCTAGCATAGAAAAGACTAATGAGCTAATATAAGTTAAAAGGGTTAATAAGAAGCCTGAGCTTCCCAGATCCAAAATGATGAATATGGTATGTACTCACTCATAAGTGGATTCTAGCCATAAATAAAGGACATTGAGCCTATAATTTGTGATCCTAGAGAAGCTAAATAAGAAGGTGAACCCAAAGAGAAACTTACGGTTATCCTCCAAGATATTGGAAGTAGACAAGATTCCCAGGCAAAAATTGAGAACTTGGCAGTGGGGGTGGGGTGAGGGTAAGGGGAGATGGGGAGAGAAAAGTGTGAAGGGTAGGATGGGGAGAGCTTGGGAGAATGGGAGGGTTGGGATGGAGGAAGGGTGAATATGGGAGCAGGGAAGTATATATCTTAATTAAGGGAGCCATTTTAGGGTTGCCAAGAGACTTGACTCTAGAGCTGTTCCCAGGTATCCAAGAAGATGTCCCCAGCTAGTTCCTTGGGCAGCTGAGGAGATGGAGCCTGGAATGGCCCTATCCTATTGCCATACTGATGAATATCTTGCATATCACCATAGAACCTTCATCTGGCGATGGATGGAGATAGAGACAGAGACCCACATTGGGCACTGGACTGAGCTTCCAAGGTCCAAATGAGAAACAAAAGGAGGGAGAACATGAGCAAGGAAGTCAGGACAATGAGGGGTGCACCCCACCCACTGAGACGGTGGGGCTGATCTATTGGGAGCTCACCAAGGCCAGCTGGACTGTGACTGAAAAAGCATGGGATAAAACCAGACTCTCTGAACATGGCGAACAATGAGGGCTCATGAGAAGCCAAGGACAATGGCACTGGGTTTTGATCCTACTGCATGTTCTGGCTTTGTGGGAGCCTATTCTGCTTAGATGCTCACCTTCCTAGACCTGGATGGAGAGTGGGAAGACCTTGAAGTTTCCACAGGGCAGGGAACCCTGACTGCTCTTTGGACCAGAGAAGAAGGGGGAGGGGGAGGGAAATGGAAGGAAGAGAAGAGGTAGAAATTTTTAATAATAATAAAGCTAAAAAAGAAGCCTGAGCTTATGGGCCAATTAGTTTATAACTAATGTAGACCTTTGTGTAATATCTGTGGGATTAAACAATTGCAGAAACTGGGCAGGACAGAAAACCCAACAACAGATTATAATGAGGGTGCAATCTTAAAGTCCACCACCTTAATGTGATGACACATTTTAAGATTGGACAGGTTCAGATGCTATGGTTATGAGTGTCTGGCTTCTCTGTCTAATGCTATCATCCTTATGCCACATATCTCTGCTTTCCACAAAGATACACAAGGTCTAATTTCATGTTTTCACATTATTCTGTTTCCTTGTCATTCTAAATTAATCTTACATCTTTCCTTATTTCGTTTCATATTTATTGTAGTTGTGAATTTCATAGTAGCATTTCACACCTTCACACCCAATATATCTGTTAGCATATCTGTTGCTGGTACACCATGAGATGTCTTGAGTACACCCTGAACACTGAAACTTCTCAAGTACACCCTGAACACTTGCACATCTTGGGTATACCTGAACACTGAGACGTCTTAGGTACACCATGAAGACTGATTTCAAAAATTTCTATACAAAACTTCCTAAACACCTTTATTTTCATAAAAGTATGCTGAAACCTAGTAAAAGAGTTTATTGGAATTGAGCTCAGGTGTTGACATTTGCTTTGTTTCTTCTTTCCTAGCATGTGTACTGTCTGTAGAATCATCTCTTAAACTAGCAGTATGGATTGAAATTCATGCTTTAAAAATCACTGTGTTTTATCTTTTGAGTATGTTTGCCTAAATATCTGTGCACCATGTACGTGCCTGTGGCATTTAGAGGGAGAGAAGATGATGCTGTGAATCTATGGAACTCTGGTTACAGACAGTTGCAAGCAATCATGTGTGTCCAAAGAACGGACTCTGTCCTTTGGAAGAGAAAATGTGTTCTAAAACATGGCCAATCCCTCTAGCCCTTCAATCCCTGTTTACAACTCACTTAAAACAAAATTAAGAAAGTTTAGAATGTTTTAAGATTAATTTTTATTTTAGTTGATGTGTTTATATGTGTGAGCATATGTTCTTATACTTGTGCTGTGTGTAGCCCTCTAGGCCAGAAAAGGCTGTTAGATTCTCTGGCGCTAGAGCTATTACTGGTTGTGAGCTGCCTGACATGGATGCTGGGAATCACACTGGTTCTCTGGATGACTAACAAGTGTTCTTAACTTATGACCTGTCTATCCAGCCCAGGAATTTATTAATGGGTTTATTAGATACCAAACAGTGTATCTCTGATCTCATATAAATTTTTAGTAGAGGTAACTTGAGAAAAATGTTCAGAATTTATTAAAGGGAGAAGTGGGCTTCAGAATGGCATGTAGTAATGTTTCTGTCATGAGCAAATTTTGATCACATGGAGTCAAATGTTTTTTGAATTACAGAGTTCTAATTTAGTGAAGTATTATGAAAAGAATACATTTTGTGACCCTTACTAGTGTTAAAATAGAATCTCAATACAAGAAATAATAGTCTTGTTTATGGAGATTCCAATCTAAGTCAGCTTTTAAAGCTAGATCCCAGGACTGTGAGTGGCAGATTCATTGACATTTTATATAGGTATATCAGAAGCCATGACTTTCTATGTTGATGAGCTTCTTTGGAAATACCTCAAAGGTCAAAAGACAAATTTTCATCATCTACTGATGAGAATACAAAATCAAATATAAGAAACTTTTGTTTGAGCACCCTTCCAAATATTACATTTTATGTGAATTATTCTAGTTTCTCTGTTTCTATGGATAATTTGGTAAAATAATCATAGAGAGCTATACAGATGAAACAATACAATCTCAGGTGAATTTAGTTCAAAGGTAGAAATTTTTTAAAAACATTAAACATTCTCTCAAATTATGAGGACAAAATTATATATCTACAAACACAAAAGTAAGATAAACTATTCATATTAACCAGTTAACACGGAGGGTACCTGAGACTTACGGTAACAAATTATTTCTCACATTATAGAATTACTATTTGTATTTAACCCCTATTTGTTCTCAAGAATAATTAAAGAGTTATTTATGAAACAACAATGAAAAACTAAGTGAAAAAGAATACTTCCACCATTATCTTATTGATATGTTCTTCAGCCTGAAACACAAAATAACATAATATGAATTTTATTCAAAAATAGAATAGCTAAATTTTTATCTTCATGTCTTCCCTCCTTGAATTTCATAAAGTCTATATTACCATTACACTATTTTACATATTACTATACATTTGATCATTATGAGTATTGCAAATAGATTGTGTTTAATAAAAAATGTGAAAAAATTGATGTAAACTCTAGTAGTACATCCCCATTCTATCTGAATATTGTTTCTATATAGTTTAACACAGAATATTCTATCAGTGAGTATAAGAAATGCTGGTTATACAGTGTGAACTTAAGCTTATTTATCATATTTTCAACTTTAAGTCTATGAAAGAAGAAATGAGCAGATAAAAGTAAAAGAAAGTTACGATGAAAATAGAGAACAAAGTAAAATTTAAGCACAGAACAAACAAAAAAGATAAATAGAGGTAGGAGGGAGGAAGAACACATGGGGGAAGAAAAGGAGGACATGGATAAAGAAAGCGAGGAAGAGAAGGAGGACATGGATAAAGAAAGCGAGGAAGAGGAGGAGGAGAGAACTTTCCCCATTCATGTACTTCATACTGGGGCAGATAAGTGTTGATGCATACAGGGATATAGCCCTGAAAAGGTTCACAGGGTATCCAAATAACATGAGAAATGGTAGCATACTGCAAAGGCTAGAAATCTCAATGATTAAGAATGCAGGTAATGGAAGGAGAAAAGAAAATTTAAGTATGCTTAACTTGCAAAAAAAATTATTAGGGCTTTGAAATTAGACAGATCACAATGCAAAAGTGCAATAGAACAAGATGGCATATACGTTCAGTCTCATCATTGAGGAGGAAGGAAAGGGCAGAGGAGAGATAACACATTCCAAGATAGCCTGAAAATATTCCAAAATCATGTTTTTAAAATACAAAAAAAAGTAAATAAATAAACAAAAACACAGTCAAAGAGCTCAATGGAAAGGTTGTGAATCCCTCCCTGTTGCTTCATTTTTATTATTATGGATATTCCCTCCTTTCAATGAAAAAGAGGAGCTCCTTCAGATGAAATACTTTTCAACAACCTCCCTGTAAATACACAATACCTGCTCCCAGTTTCCAGCTGCCCTTGTTAGTATGTTGCTTTTATCTGATTTGAATCTGTTGTTATTCAATTTGATACACAATATGTAAGAGTAAATTGCAAGGTATAATTGTGTTGTGTTCCCCACACTGAGTTACCATAAGGAAGTTTGAGAGGATGGTAATTGAGGTTGATAAGATGAAACCTTCTTGTGAATGCTCATTCATATAGAAATAGATCCAGTATCCAGATAATTAGCATCATCTCTTCCAGTTTTACGGAAGAAGCATTCACTAGCAGAACAAGAATAATCCACCAAGTACAAGAAGATATCTAATGGTAGAGGATGGGGAAGGGCTGCTATATCTATGATAGGGCAGGCATCAATATAAAATATTCACAGCATTTTGTACATAGGTGTAGCTCTTTGACATTTGTTCCAACATCATAAATATACTGTGCAGAAAACTATCCAAACACAACTACAATTACAGAGATTACTGTTCCACATTTGTAAACTAGGAAACACACAGATTCATCAAGGATGAGACTACTGGGTACCACACCTGTTGCTGAGAGTACATAAACCCAGCTCTCCACAGGGTGACATCCAAACTCAGAATCCTCTCAGGTACATCCAGCTAAGCTCACATCTCTCAACATGGCCGACAACTGCTGCTCTAGAAACTTCTCCAGCTGCGGCATTAGACATTGCCAGCCATATTCAGGTTTCCCCTGTGGCTCTTCCTACCCCAGCAACCTGGTCTACACCACTACCACTTGCTCTCCCAGCACCTGCCAGGTGGATTCCTCTGTGAACAACGGATGTCAGGAGACCTGCACTGAGCCCACCAGCTGCCAGAGGTCCTGTGCAGTGTCCAGACCCTGCCAGACAGTCTGTTACTACCCGAGGAGCTCCACACCTTGCAGTCCCTGCTGGGGAATGTGTGCTGGATCTCTGAGCTTTGGATCCAGCAGCTGCTGTTCCCTGGGCTGTTTATCCAGTGGCTTGAGATCTCTGAATTGCGGAATCTATGGCTTTCCCTCCCTGTGTTATGGGTCTGGATTCAACTACCCAGAATACTTGGCTTCTACAACATTCCAACCCTCTTCTTATAGATCAGTCTATGGCATTGCCTTCTAGAAATTTGACTGCTAAGTCTCCATATTCCTATAATATCACAATCAAATTCTCTATGTCCTGTAGATGATTTATTATTCTTATCTTCTACCATTTGTCTTTCTACTAACAATTCTTTCAAACTCATCTTCTGTTAAAATCTTGATGTGTAATCTCATATTATGCCTTAAATTTTGTGCTAATGTTATTCTATTTGCCATACATTCAAATATGTTTGATAACTAAAATTTTAATTCAATAAATTTATGCAATCTGTGGCTTTAATTCATTGTTCTTACTATTATGATATTGTTATTAGGTTTGTATTTATTTATTCATTAAAGATCAAAATTTATACAATTTATGTTTGAGAATAATTAATTTGGTTGGGGGAATACTCCTTATTTGTAGTAGTTAGTAATTGGAAGAGTTTAATTTGAATGCAAATAAGGCTCATAAATGTGAGCACTGCCTATGATTGAAGTGTATGACTAAAATGTTATCCATCAAGAGTATATTATTATATACTTCATGGGGTTTATGTATATTTTCAGGGAAAAATATTTAAGTCTATTTTATAAATATGAGTTTTCAACCAAGAGAATAGAATAGTCAACTTCCAAAGAATTTCAAGACAGATACTTCTTTTTATCTGAAATAATGAAATCTCTTCTACCCAAAGTTTATGCACTATTTTTTCCTATCTTCTCAAAATATTTGAAAGGAGAATGACAACCATCTTAAGTGGTAATAACTGGGTCTAGGAATCAGGGCATCTTCCTGATGCTTCTCCAACTCAGCTTCAGCCAACCTAGAAACAATGCTGAACAGATTTTATTCATTTGTTTTAGTCTGATTGTCAACGTTAAAGATTTGGGTGTAGTTTGCTTGCAATAAGAGCCAGGAAAAAAAAGCAATAGTGTATTGTTCATTAGTGTGTCAGTTTGGTCCTGAAGGTAGTACTGGTCTCCTGGAACAGACCTTAGATGACCAGGGACAGGAGCACACAAACTACAACTTTAGGGCTGTCTCAGTTGTGACCCAAAGGGAAGTGCCAGGGCTGGGCCAGGGCAGGGATTCTCTAACAGTAGAGTCCATGGGCTGGAGAGCAGGGTTAAAGTACTCAGACTTCAGGAGTTCCACAGCAGGAGATGGAGGGAGGAGAAGTGAGGACCAGATCATAGCTGTCTCAGCAAAGAGCATTCATATCTGGAAAGCCTTGGAAGACGGCAGTAAATGAGAGTGTTTGCTTATGGACTTCACTGAATTGGGCTCAATTTTAGGTTGTAAATTTGGTAGAATTTTTTTTTCATGAAATTAGATCCATCTGTATATTGTTATTTTTTTTTTTTACCAAAATCCCAATCTTTCCACTAAATACTCAGGAGCCAGATGTTATGGTGAAACCCTGCTTGTTCAGAGAAGCAAAGTAATCACCCAGTTAACAACATTCCTTCTCTGCCAATATCCCAGAAAAAGTTACTTTCTCTTACTTATTATGGTGTTCCAATCAAGACTCCTCCAGCACAGTGCCCCTCCATTCTACTTCCTGTGCATCTCTCTATCCATCCTCCTGACTCCCTCTTTCTCTCTATGATTATTACTTTCTGTCATCAGGTTGATTGCTCTAACTCCTGACCTATAGAATGTTTTTTGATTTAATCCTGTTTACAATAAGCAGAAAGCTCTTGGATTAATGGTGTTTGCACTGGCAAAGCCACACCAGAACTAGAAACAGGTTTATCTAATAAATAAAACAACCTCTGGTTCCAGAGTAAAATCAAACATCCTGAAGCATGTCTCCCTTTTTCTAAATGAAAAGGAAAGGTTTGAACTCTAATACAGTAAAACTATTTACAATAATTAAGCTATTCCTGCCAAGATTTACACAATGTCTAACTTGGTTGTATTTGGCAGTCTAAGGATTAAGTATTTCTGAGTTCAAAGTACTATAAAGTGTTCATATCATTCTCATATGACTCAACCATCAAACTATTCTGAGCAGTTTGTAGGCAAAAGATGAACTTATGGCTGGTGTTTGTTAGCTTAATCACAATCCTGGATAGGTAGAACACAGCATTCAGTATTGTGTGGTCCTCCAGCAGGAAGGGGCAGGCCCTCAGGCAACATAGTGTTATGGGTGCCAGTGCTAATCTCGGGCTCTGAGCTGGAATTTCAGGCCAAACAGCTGGAGGTTGGTGGGTGATACCATTTGGCCTGTCTACTTTTTTTTCTTTGAATTTGTTCCTTGACGATCTTTTACGTGTTCAGTGAAACATCTCCAGCTTCTTATCTTGATTTCTTGTCTTTATCTGGAAAGATAGAAGGAAAACCCTGCCCCAATCCAAACTGTGGGGAGTTTCTTTTCTTTTTTTGTATATTTTATCTTTCCTATGGAATAAAGATTTTGTCAACAGAAAGTATATTATCTTTCAATCAAAAAATTCTTCTGAAATTTTGAAACTAAACATGCCATAAGTATGCACAGAGAACAGAGAAATGTACCTATATTGCTATATATATTTCAAGGTTTAAGTGTATTTATTTTTAGACCACAATAGACATTCACTTTAAATTTCAGGCTCCCTTTAACAAGTGCATTTGAAATTTAAAACACTATAAATATTATATGCGTACCTCTGTTTCACATGTTTTGTGATTAACCTCTTTCTACCTATGGCGTCCTTAAAATATTTATTCTCATAGAGTTGTCCTGGTTTAATCTGGTTCTCCATTCCCCCTGTTATTCAGTGTTAGGGGTGAACTGTCAACTTTTTCTGATGAGTAATCTATCATTATTATGGATTTATATTGAGTTTGTTCCCTAGAAATTTTGAATATTATAGTTTTAATTAACATGATGACACTCTGCCAACTATTTCATTATTCTCAGACATTTTGTTAGTCTTGCTTTTGTGAGCTACATAACATTTGACATCTTTGTTAAGTTTTGCTAGGGTGTGCCTTTTCCATTCATGCCTCCTATGACTAGATGTCCTTGCCATTTAGCTGACAGTTAGTGGTTTTCCATTTTGATGATAATACATCCATACCATTGCAAATGCACCATGAATTGGAGAAAATAGAGGGGTTTTGTTTGTTTGTCTTATAGTTAAAAGTCTTGCTATTAGTTCAGTGTGTTGTGCTGATTTTGTGGTTCCTTCCTCCATATTGGCCATTTGGTGTAGGAAGATCTTCTTTCTATGTGTAGCTTTCATTGGTCAAATAAAGAAACTGCCTAGGCCTTTTGATAGGGCAGAATTTAGATAGGTGGAGTAGACCGAACAGAATATGGGAAAAAGAAAGCAGAGTCAGGCAGACACCATGAATCTGCGGCTTGAGACAGATGTAGGTTAGGATCTTTCCCAGTAAGTAATATTTTGACATGAAATTAAGACACATGGGTTAAGAAAACCTATTTTTCAATTCATGGCTGTAAGGTGTGTGTGCTTTTGGTATATTATCATTTGAAAATATTATCTTTTTATTTTTTCTTGTCTGAATGAAGGAAAGCCAACTGTTAGTCTTCATAAGTTAGTTTCAACTGAATTACCAAGCTGTCTGATGGAATATTTCTTCTCCATATGCGTTTAGTCTCTCCTGTACAAATCTAATATTTTTCAATCTCGATGGTATCCACAGCTTTTCTTCTCCCGTGGAAACAAAGTCAAAACTTCTTCTCCAGCTTAACAAATATCCTGTTTTCCATTCTGAGGTCAATATCGCTTTAAAATAAACATGATGATTTAATTCAGCAGTTTTTTTCTACTATCCAATGTCTCTCCATAGATGTTGTTACTTTCTCATTAATAAAACACTGTATAATCTATCTTTGTGTTTTTTCTGTTTGTTAAGTATATCTTTTAAAGTACAATTAGATCTTTCTATAACTGCTTGCCATGTAGAACAGTGTGGTATGCCTGCAGTATGCTTTATTGTAATATGTGAAGAATGGATTCATTTTACTGGAGACATATGCTGGAGTATTGTCAGTCTTAATTTGTACAGGTATCTCCATGATGGCCATAACTTCTAACAAATGTGTAATTACAGAATCAATATTTTCAGAACTTAAAGCAGTTGTCTATTGAAATCTTAAATATGTATGTCTGGCATGGTGCACTTTTATTTCCAAACTCTGCAAATAAATTGTCTTGCCTGTCCCTTATTGAGCTGCATTCATTAGGCCAATGCTGGCTTTTTTCCACACCTTCTGCATACTCCAAAATCCTCGGGCCTGCTGTTTGGATTATCACTTGGAAAAGCATTATCTCTTGAAGTTGGTTTCCCTTTGCAAATGGACCTTGCTAATCAAAATTTATACATTTGACATTTTGATGTTTTTGTTAAAACTTTTAGAAATTGCTTATCCTTTCAGAGTAGCATCATAACTATGAGAACCACTATCATTTGTAATTCTAATCCACTCATCTACTGGGGCTGATCTTGTCTTTAATGACCTAATCACCCTTTTGCATTCTGAATTAGAATTTTCAAAAGCCAAAGATTTAAATAATTAATATTTGTCTGACTTCTAGATATGATACAATTCTATTCAAATGTCTTTGCAAAACATTAGTGAAGGCTTTTTTTTTAGGCCTTGTAATATTCTAGAAAATGACTCAAACCTCTTTCCTAATTCTTCAACTTTGTCCTAAAAATTTAAAGGTGCTAAATGACTTAGTGCTAAGGCATGATCATCTATTCAAGCTGCCTTTGAGACTCAGCATAATGATTTAAACCTAGAAACTGGTTCTGGGAAAAACTAACACCTCTAGCCCTATTTTGTCATTCTATAGCCCTAGCTCCCTCTTTCACAATATTCACCCTTTTAAATGAGGACTATCTTCTAATATTGCTCTTGTCAATTCTTTTAAGGGTTGGGGAAAAATTCTATTCTTAGTTGCCCATGAATTTGACATATGTTTAGCATAAGATGAATGAATACCATATAAAATGATCACTTCCTTAAATCTAACAAAATCTAATATTTCTAACGGACCCATTTAATTTTCATTTAATCT